AAGCTTTTACTTGTTAAACAAATGTTTAAACAACTATATTCAATTATTCTCGACAAATCATTTATCGGCCCTTTCGTAGGGTCACATATCGGCAGGGGTCCGTAAATCTAATGCCTTGAAATTTGCTGCGGGGGAAGACGGGAATTCCCCGAGAAAACCCGTTTTCACAGGGCAGGCGCGAAGAATTACTAAAATTTGTCCTTAGAGATAATCACTTCGTCTTCAATGGTCAATTGTATGACCAAATAGATGGCGTGGCAATAAGGTCACCTTTAGGGCCTACTCTCGAAAACATACTCCTTTTTTGCCACTATAAGAGTTCTTGGTTAGACAGACAGACACTCACACCTGTCCTGGTGAGTACAGATCGGCTGCATATAGAAGGTATGTTGATAATACATTTTTATTCTTTCGAAACTCTAGCTATATCAAACAATTATTGGATTATTTAAATTCTAAACACCCTAACATTAATTTTACTTGTGAAACTTAAAAAAAGGGTAAAATGCCTTTTCTTGATATCCAAATCAGCAGATTAGATAATCAGTTTACAGCATCTGCTTATCGCAAGAAAAAATATACAGGCTTACAAGCTCGTTTCTACAGTTTTATTCCGGACATGACCTTATACCCAGTTTTCTCAATGGAGCATATAACATTTGAATATTCTAATAAATAACGGCTATCTCTTGCATTTTATTCAATCCTTAATACGCAACTTCCTTTCTAACAAAACTGAACCACCAAAGAAACCATATACTGTATACAAATACCCATTAAGACTGATCATTCCTTTTTTTAGGTAAAGTTGCATACTAACGTCACAAATTTTAATAATAATTAAAACTTTTATTCAACAGATTAAACTACAAATGATATTTAAATCACCTTTGATGTTTCCAATCTATTCAGGTCTAAAGACCTATTACCTGCTCCTATGCATTCTATACAAAACTATACGCCAATTTCACTTATATAAACATCAAGCAGAATTGGAAAACAATTGTCAAAACCCACAGTATAATTTCGCAAAATAAGAAGTAATATTGTTACAATTGTAGCACTATCCTAGTCCTTTTACTTTCATGCTTTTACTCTGTATTTTAATCTATCTCTATGAAATGTTGGAAATTAAAATATATATATATATATATATACTGAATATTTTATCTTGTTTAATAATATCTTGCTGAATATGTATATTCCAAAATGTTCAAGTTTGTTTGAAGTTCGCGCAAAGTTACAGGAGAGTTATCTGCGCTAGCCGTCCCTAATTTAGCAGTGTAAGACTAGAGGGAAAGCGGCTAGTCATCATCACCCATCGCCAACTCTTGGGCTACTCTTTTACCAATGAATAATGGGATTGATCGTCACATTATAACGCCCCCAAGGCTGAAAGGGTGAGCATGTTTGGTGTGACGGGGATTCGAACCCGAGACCCTCAGGATTGCGAGTCGAGTGCCTTAACCACCTGGCCATGCCGGGCCAAATGTTTAAGAAGTAAATGTTTATTACCGTCACATACGTATCAAATGTTTGTTTTTGTTGCCGTCGTACTATTTTTCATCATTAAACAAAAGAAAACGTGATAACAAGACACATCAAGTGAGCTAAGAGCAAAACTTGAAAATAGGCAAAGTAATAAGAATGTAATAATGCTATAAAATCTTGCTGTTGTAATTTCTTTAGTAAATCTAAACTCGCAAGTTTTATAACTCCTAGAGTTCGCCCCCAGTGGCACAGCGGTTTGCCTGCGGACATATAACCCAAGAAACTGGAATTCGATAATCGTGGATAGCCCATTGTGTAGGTTTGTGCTTTACTACAAACAAACAAACAAATCCTAGCATTCTGGCTTTATAATAAAGAAGAAAAAATCAAATAAATATATGTTTCTGAACTTGAAAAAAAGTAAAACAGACCCATTACACCATCATTCATTGAGAAAACTTTGAAATAAATATGACTACTGTAACGCATTTCTTAAAGTATAAAGAATTTTTAATTCTCGATTAGTTTAAATGAGAGGGCGTTGTTAAAATATTGCATGTGGGGTGAGTTGCTCTTTACTTTGCTGTACGCGAAGTGTACACTAATAAAAAAAGGAAAATGTGTTTATTTATGTATGCCACTTTTGTAGGATAAGTCTATTTAGTGTATATAAGTTCTGAATGTCATAATTATGTGAACTGTTGGAAACGTTCTTGTACTTCATTTGTTGAATTAGCAAAGACAGACCAATCACCAAGTTAGTTCAGTCTGACCTTAAGCAAGTTAAAGTTAAAGGCTTAACTAGTTGAAGTTCCAATCAGAAATTCTCCAGATTCGGTAAGATTTGTATAATATTAACTAATAATTCATATTGCTGTAATATTTGATTCTCTTTGATACTTGGAGTTCTAATCTGCCATTCTTATTTTGCAAATTAAATAGTTGTTTGTTTTTATTAAACTTAAACTATTAAAGTTAAAGTCTACATAGTTTTTAAATACTATTAGGAGAATCCTGTGGTTAAGCATTAAGGTTGAACATTATTACTGAGATATGCAATCCAACGATATTTTATTTTTAACCTTAACAGTGAGATTGTGAGATCTTACTTTTAATGCTTGGACGTTTAGCTAGGGCCGTGGTCAGCACAGCATAGAGAGCCCCTTGTGCAGCTTAACAACAAAACAAACAAACAATTTACCTAGATGGAACAAACGTCCCAGTTTGACCAGGACAGTCTTGGATTTTAGAATGTTGTGCCAATATACTGATGGATGCTTTTGTAATACCTAAATGTCCTGTTTTCATTTTTGTTATTACCTTTAACTTTTATATGCTTCTGTTCAGTACTTTGAGTCTCTAACAATTGTAAATGAACAATTACCATTTATTTTAACTGAATAGGGAAATTATTACTAACAGCATTTGAATTAACCATATGCAAAGACAGCAATTGCTCTCTGACTTGCAAGCAATTTCTTGCCAGACTTTCACCAGTGGCAACAAAGCTGCTACCTCTGTAAAATGTATCTAATTGACATCTTTATTCAACATTTTATTTATCACAGCATGTCTCATTCTTTTTATTTACAGTCTGCTTGACTTCCAGCTATTTACTTTTAAAACAGTTTGCCTACGTAACAGATACTGCATTGACTTAAGTTTATTTGAGGCATTGCAAAATTCAGTCTTTGAACTTAGGAAATTAATTCCATAGCAAAATAAAAAATACCACTAAATGTGTTAATCAGGACAACACAACAGCAAATGACATAGTTTATTTGGAAGAGGTTTTTCCACTTAAAAGTGCACCTAATGCACAAAAAGGGTACAAAGCAAGTATTCGCACCAAGACAAAAATCAGTAAATTTGCATTATGTTTTTGTACTGCTTAAATATTTTTGGTGAAATCATTAAATTAGAGGCAACTTTCCAAGTTAAACCTTGGGTATCAGCTTTGTAATATTCTACCCATATGATCTTTAACTTACCCAGCAAGTCAAAATCAAAATAAAACTTTTGTTATTTAATACTAGCAAAATACAATGAAATAGTCTTAACAACTCTGTTTTCAGACAATGATCATCATTATTCAAATAACATACATTGAACCCATCTTTTCTGTTTGACCTTCACAAAGTAGTATCTAAAATATGTCAAAGTGAATAAAGTAATAATTAGCTCCAGTCACTGAGAGTGATTAGAACTTAAATTTCTAGCTAGAAAGCAACCTAGTTTATGGGAAAGCATCCTCTCTCATATCTTCTACTCTCATCCAGGAAGACTAAAGAAGGGATAGTTTTATCACTATTGCCACTCTTGTTTCCTCTATATGAAAACCAAAAAATATTTGTAGTTCTTCAGAGAGAATTACAGTCAGTAAGACATTTATTAGTGTTTCTATGAATGATTTATGTATTTTGCACAAAATTTTAGTATTTGTTATTTATGTTGGCAATTTATAAAATTCCAAATCACCCACTTGTTTTGTATTGTCTAGACTCTAGAGAGTAGAGGTTTTTTTTGTTTTTTTAACTTTATTGCCAAAATGTCTTAAATCCTTGCATATATTACAAGACAAACAAATATGGCTGTGGTGGTGTTTTAATTATAATAAAATATTCTTCTTTGTATTGCTAATTTGACACCAAATGATGTTAACACCTAGGATAAAAAAAATCGAATCTATCTTATTATTTCTTAATATATGTCAAACATAATATAGAAAAGTCAATTAAAAATGACTTGTACACAAAGTCTAGTTTTTTGGTATTAAAGAACTTTAGTTTCAGTGAATTCCTAAGTTGACCAACTCGCATGTTTGTCATTTATGCTTATCTAAGTACAGTGTAGATGTTTTTTTGAGTATACTGCAACATTTATTCATGGATTACCGTATTGTTCAGTGTCTAAGACTCACTTTTTTTTTTTACCCCAAAATTCTATGTCAAAAT